CCCCCCCCCCCCCCCCCCTACAATTGTTCAGTGGAAAGAGAAGAGTTTACTTAGATTTATAGCTCAAAGTCACCAGGTTTTCCCTACAGATGATAGAATCCAAAACCATCGTTTATTCCTTTCGTGTTTTCTCCTGTATCTGTGGCTAATTGGATGGGTTTAAGGTAACGGGTTAGCTCTACAAGGGACCAAGACTGGTACTTTTTGCCAGTTAATGCCCCCGCCATTGACATGTCTATTCTAAACTAAGAATATCAGCATGGTTAAAAATCATGCCAACATATGAGTTTCGTCATTTACATTATACAAAGACACCATGTTATCTGCCGATTCTATTTCGAGAAGCGGAGGATTTTGATTGGGAATGTTGTCTCTTACAATTGGATATTCCACTGTCGCTTACACTGCCTTGAGTAAGATTTTCTTCAGGTTCAGAAAATTCTCTTGACCAGGAATTCAAAGGAATCAGATGACTATCATCCTTGGCACTCTTCCGCTGCTCTTCATGCCGTTTAACATTTTCAGAGAACCGATGGATTGTTTTGTTAAGCTTTGCAATCCCTCTTTCAACTGGTTCAACAACATGTGTGACTGTATATCTCATGTCATCAGCAATCTGACGGGAAACAAAGCCACAGACTCATCAAAACGTGGGAATAAATGAGAAACCGAGGAAAATTAGAAAGAACAAGGTTAGGTCTTACAATTTCACCACTTCCAATGACAACATCCCGAACACTCTGGGGAAAATTCAAACGCTTCTCTCTCTCGTCATGGCGACTCAAGCGTATTTTAGTTGTTCGTTCAGAGTCTCTAACCTCCTCTGGATCCGGTGGCGTTCCTAAGGATGCATAGTCAGACAGCACAGCAACATTACGAACACATCTTTCTCCACGTTTATAAGGTACGGCTGGAAAGGTGTAAACATGTGCAACGGCAGCAATACCCATCTGAATGAGATATAATTTTAATTTACAACATTTGCGAGGATTTCAAATGAAATTCAAACTTACAAAAGGATACAAGAGAACAAAATAAGTTTTTACAATATAATAATGAGAGATTTAACATTCATGCCATCAAACTCGCTTAATTTCAGACCACAGGGAGTGTCAGCCGTCTGACATAAGTGATGACCAAGAATAATTTCATACCATAGTTGCAAAAAAAAGAAGAAAAAAAAAAAAAAATCAAACTACCCTCAAATAGGCCTTAACAATGTTTACTTCTTCCCCTTGAAAATAGAGATGGTTCTCACTTTTGAACATGATACCCAAGCGTTCCAATCAATGTTTAGCTAATACCATACTCTTGTGTATAAGTTTAACTCCAATGTCATCTCAAGTTTTGAAATACAGATCGCATAGAAGTTTAACTGATCAATCATCTCAACCAAAAGAGCGAAATCAAGTAAAGGGGATGCCTAAAAGCACTACTGTAAGATAAATGAAGCAACCAGGCAAGAAATGTAGTCTCGCTCACCTCAATACATATTAGGTAATCTTGTATGCGTGTCTTCAGCTCCCGAGCCAAGGACCCTTTAAAAGCTCCTATGGAGAAAAGAAAGGCAACGGCAATTCCTTGCCACCAAGTGAGGAAAACAATTGACTTGAAAACAAGAAACTTTGCCAATGGTTTAATTGGTTCCAATTTGTCCTTCGTGACAGAATAGAATTGGAGAAGGCAATATAGGGCCCACGATTGACTAAAATTAAGTACAATTGCCAAGTAGGGATATCTGTAAGAAAACAGAACAGGTCAAAATCAATGCTCAAAGACTAGGAAAGGTTAGAACTAGCAGTTTTCTAAGTCCTAACTCCTGCAGAGAGGCTGAACTACGTTTGTCTACATTATAGAAAATTGAGATTACAGGGTATCTGTGATGGAAAGTATCCATACAAATGAAATAGGACACGTACCCATATCTCCATTCAAACTTTCCTTCTCCATAAATCCCGAAACTTTCAAGAATCATTGCTAGGAGAGCACATATCATCTTCAATATCATCTGAGATGTCAATCAAGGACCAAAATCATGATATAAATCTGACATGAGCATATTTATTTCAAAAATAAGAAAAGAGCAAAATGATGATCACATACATATTGAACAATACCAATTTTCACCGCATGATAGAAGTCAGAACCAAGATACCAATCCCTTATGAACAAATTTAAGGGAAAAGGATGTTCTACAACCCCATATGCATATTTTTCCGTCAAAAGAGGTGTGCTAGAGTCAACAACAGTCTGACTTTCCATGAATTCAAGTGTACGTTTCTCACCACCTTTCAACCATATAAAATTTGTAAAAAGTTCAGCATTATTTGAGGGCATTAAACAAATCTCGTAAATTAAATTAATCACCCATCAAAAATTTTTAGCATCTCACAGGACATGCATACAACTAACACAAGCCAAATACCAAGAGCACTAACATAAAATGCTATAAAGAATGCCTCCGTGAGGTGGGGGAGAATGGAAACTTCCAAAAAAGGAAAATTGCAGGAGTACTTTTTCAGCTGATTTCCAAACTTGAACACAACAATCAGAGAAAGAGAGAAGAAAATTTAACAACTGTATGCCCATTCAATTATGATCACCTTTTTTATTTTGAGAGGAAGATGAAGTTGACTTGTTTAAAATTTTACAAAATTGTTAGCTCAACATATAGAAATTGATGCAAATTGAACAGATAGTATAAAACTACTGCAATGCAATTTTTTCTTTAAAGAAACTACTTCATTGAAAATATAAAATATACTAGAGTATAGGGAGGAAGGCCTCAACCTGTGCAAAGGAAAGTGAAACAAAGAGCCTTACAATTAGCACAAAGAGAAGAAAAATCATAGGTAAAAAAATGTTTGGACTAACTGCACCCAAAAAAAAAAAAAAAAAAAAAAAAAAAAAAAAAAAAAAAAAAAAAAAAAAAAAAAAAA